AATTTTTATTGCGCTTTTAATGATTCTCTACATAATTTTAATTTAATTTTACTACCGTAAACACTGAGGATGATCTAAAAAAAGATCGAAACGTCTGTATTTACGTTTCATTTAGTATGATAAAATTATTTTGCAATAATATCTAGCATTGACTTTTATGTTTCTTTCTCTAATAATTTCGATTTTTTCAAAAGGCCGTTATAAATTTTAATTTAGGTTTTTATATAAACCTCTCTATAATAAAATATAAAATTAAATATATATATTGTATGTGCAATTTATAATACAAATATTTGTACGTATGCAGGTAATATTAATTTTAAAAAAATTGAAGAAAGAACACGAGACATCGTAAATGATGCAGCTATCTAAAATAACAAAACACTGACTTCAATTAATTGTTGTTTTTATTAATGATATTTTGTTTCCATGATAATTAACATTCGCGAGCGTATCTCAAGTTTTAATGACAATACGTCTTATCTGCAAACGAACACGGCGTTATACATATATTTCAGATGGAGGTATCCTTCTGCCACGCGTCAAAAACAAGCGGTAATATCGCAAATACGCAATACCCGTGCAGAAATGCATCATTCAGAAAGCAATGAATTATCTAGACGTAGATTATACACGACCCTCTAATCGAGGTCCAGATTTTCAGCATGGTATAAATAGGTGTCAGGGATGTGGATCGGCAGAAGCTTCTCGTGGCAGTGAGCAGCAATCTTCTTTCATTCTTTTGAATTAACGCAAAACTTTCAGTATGAGTACTTTAACGAATAAGATCGCCCTTGTCACCGGTGCCTGCTCCGGAATTGGTAAAGCAGTCACCGAGGAATTGGTGTCGAAGGGACTTAAAGTTATCGGCCTCTCCAGTGATATAAACAAGCTGAAGGTATATTTAATGTTAACACTGCCAAAAATATAATCGAATTGTATACAAATTATGGATTATGGTTACGGTCTACTTGATGTTACAAATCAGTGAATTAGTAAAATTCTTTCTTCTGATTGATTAGTCAAATGCTTCGAAACAAATTTGTAGCGCAAATTACACTTAATTTAATAACAGTAAAAGTGATATTAATAAATTATGAGTTAGTTATCTCTTTTATGATCTTTGTAGCTTTTCGTGGACGAGCTGAAGGGCAAACCCGGCAAATTTTATCCTCTTCAATGCGACTTGAGTCTCCCGAATGAGATCGAAAGTGCATCAGAGTGGATAGAGAAGAACCTGGGTAGTGTGGACATCTTAGTAAATAGCGCTAGCATTAGCTTAGATTGGTCCAGCATCAACGGTGGTATACAGGAACTTAAGAAGACTATTGATATCAACTTACTTGGCTTATCGCTTCTCACCAAGAAGATTCTGCAATTGATGAAAAACAAGGGTAGGTAAAGAAAAATTAGAAAAAATTATTTCTATATCTGATAAATAAAAAAAATATTAGAAATCGACAACGGCTGGATCATTAATGTCAATGACGTATGTGGATTGAAATGGTTGCCTCTTGCCTCCGACCGGCCTCTTTCCCCGGCATATGCTGCAAGCAAGTCCGCGTTGACCGCACTGAGTGAATGTCTTCGTCTGGAGTTGGCCCAAAACGAGTCCAACATCAAAGTGACCGTAAGTAACTTCGAATCGTACTGTAAGGAATTGTTTTTTAAGTATTTGTGTATAAAGTCAATCTTATCATTCCAACATATAATAAAAGTTTTTCAAATTAAATCTCTTAACACACACATTCTACTTGATATCATTGAAAGAAAGTTTGATTTTTCCTAAATTCTCACGAACAAAGTAAAGTATGTTTAAAGCATATTAAAAGTAATAATTTTTTATTATATAAAAATAAAAAAACATTTCGGAAAAAGGTACACTGAAAATTCATTTTTCAATTTATTGTTCTTTGATATCTGTTAACATGATTCATTCTCTTGCAACAGAATATCTGTCCGGGCTTAGTGGAGACCGAGCTCAACCAGCAATGGTTAAAGGAAAATTCACGATTGGCCCTGAAATCAAAAGACGTGGCGGACGCTATTCTCTACTCGTTGCAGACTCCGGAGAACGTGCTTATCAAGGATCTTATTATTACACCCATTCGGGAAATTAATTGAGACCGGACGAAATCATTTATGACGAACATTGTAGTATTTAGAGCACGTGTCGTGTGGCAAATCAAATAAAGCGTTAACAATTTTCAAATATGACGTACATGAATTCGTCGTATTAATCCTATAACCCTCAGGCTGATTTTATACGGTTTTATTTTTTATATTTTATATATTTTTATTGGCAATATCATGTACAAGTAACAAAGTTTCGATAAATAACATCGACACTGCTTTTATATTTTTGCATATTGATCATCGTGATTGATCATCGATCAATTTTTTAAAATTTCAATGTGTGTGTGTGTGTGTGTGT